TTAGGGAGAATGCACTGGGCTAATTTCCCCAGTTGGGATACACACTGCATTTCTAAGCAGTTAAAGTAAACAACTGATGAAGGAAATAATTGCCTTCATTAATGTCATCAGTTTATTTTAAAGTCTGTTTGCCCAAAGGAAACAGCAGCCTGTTCATGAGGATAATTCACATTTTGTATCATTATTGCATATGCTCAGAGACAAATATTAAGATTCCATGTATATCTGGCATTCCTCACCTGGTAAAATATATTCCCTTTAAATTCAATGTATCTTAAAACCTACTAAAACATCTCCATGTGAGAGCTTGTTTACGTTTCCATTTTTGTGGTATGAACCACTCTGTCAAGGATCTGCCTAATCAACAAGTGTAAATGGGCTTTCAAATGCCAGGATACCCCGGGCATACATGGGAGGGATACACAGGTAAGCAGAACCTTGGCACCTGTCTCTGTTACATATGTAAGAAATGGGCATCAAAGGGACATATAAATGTTCAATTCAGTTTACTTTGTATTTCCCAGTGTCAGTTTTGGGTTTCCATTTCCTCTGAGCAGGTTTAACCTTGTTGACTGCAAGAGTAAAACGCTTTCTGTGGAAAAGAAAATTACTCTAAAAAGTGTAATTCTGTTTTCTTGCTCTGTTCTGTGCTTCCTGATTTAGTACAGATCTGAAGTACAAAGGAACAGAAACTTCACTGGTCTTCAGAAGGAAAGTTATTTTTAGAGTCATTTTGTTGCCAAAGCATATAGAAACCTTATGTGCTACCTCAGAAAGTTGCTGTGGAATGGCAAGGGAACAGAGATGCCTATTTCTTTGTCTCTGCTTTCCAATCACAGAGCTTTACTCTGACAAAAAAAAAAGATGCACATGTTCCAAAGAAGAGTTGCAGGAGTCCCAAAGTTGCTTGAAGTTGAATTAAATGTAAATGTGTGATCCTTGTCTGTGTCGTATAAATACAAATCAAGGTCTTGAACAAGGACTGTGCTTAGACATACAACTCTAACTCTCTTAAGTGAAAATGCAGTCCTGAATCTGAACTTAACAGAATCATTTAGTTGGAAAAGATTTCTAAGATCATCGTGCCCAAGCATTAACCCAGCACTGCCAAGCCCATCACTAAACCATGTCCCCAAGTGCCAGATCGACAGGTTTTTTAAATCCCTCCAAGGCTGGTGACACCACCACTGCCCTGGGCAGCCTGTCCCAATGCTTGACCACCCTTTCCATGAAGAAATTTCCCCTAACACCCAATCTAAATCTCTCCCAGGAGGGAGGTTGCAAGGGGCAAAGAAGAGCTGGGAGTGCCTCTTTTTTCTGGGGTGTTGTAAAATTGGCTCAAAATATGTGGCTTGAGAAATGTTACCCCAGCTGAGGGGGTAAACCATCATCTTTCATACAAATCCTTCTTGGGAACAGAGGGGGAAAATGCTGCTTGTTTGCAGATTACAGCATGTTGTGTTTCACTTCAGCAGGACAAAGATTTAAAGCAAAGTGTAGAATGACTTATACACTATCACTGGCATCAGTTCAGGAGTGGAGGATGAGGCTGGTTCCAGTTGCTGTAAAAAAATATGAGTTTGCTTTATCTCCTTCCACATCAACTGCAAGTTTTTACAAGCTGTTGTGATACTTCACAGGCAAAAGGAACAGCCCCCAGGCCCAAAACATCTGAGCCTTCAGTGAACTTAATACTCCTGTGCCACTCCAAAAAGAGAAAACACCTCCTTTCCTCTAAGTTGTATCCTTCTAGGATGCTGACAGATTAAAAAAAAAGAAAATAAAAACATCTCACTGTCAAGTAAAAAAATTCTGCCTAGAGACAGACTTTGCTGGCTGTATTCATGGACACCCCAAAAATAGAGGTGGGGCTGGAAGGGGCAGCAGTGCATCCATATGTGCATCCACATCCACAGAAAGTATTAAAATTCAAGTGAAACAAATATAGGGGACCTGGTGATTGACAGAGTTTTATACCCAGGAATAGATATTGATAGGTGTGTTTGGATGAACAAATCTTCCTTAAGGTAAGTACAGAGAGACAAGGGGGAGTTATTTGCAGTGACTGCCGGAGGTGGAGGAGCGGGTGTGGCACTGCCTGATGTTCTGCAAAGTTCTTGCCTGTGGAAGTGGAGTCATGCAGGAAAACCTGCCTGTCCTTGAGTGCCTTGCAGTGTCCTGGTGGGCACATCCCCACAGCTCACAGAAAATGGCTCTCCAAGCCACATCTACGGGTCTTTTAAATTCCCCCGGGAATGGGGACTCCACCACTGCTCTGGGCAGCTGTGCCCGTGCTGGAAAACCCTTTTGGGGAAGAAATGTTTCCTAATCTCCAACCTAAACTCCCCTGGCACAACTTGAGGCTGTTTCCTCTCATCCTGTCACTTGTTCCCTGGGAGAAGAGCCCGACCCCCATCAGGCTCCAGCCTCCTGCCAGGGAGTTGTAGACAGTGGTAAGATTGTGATGTGTGATGTGGGTGACACTTGGGTGGGTATTTTTGTCACTTAAATGTATATTTTTTTATAAGTATTGCTTAAGTTCAGGTCTTCCCTTGGCAGGAGAAGATTTTTGCTGCTATACTCTATGCAGCTATAGTCATACATCTCTCTAGATACAGCTACTCTGCATTCTCACCTAGTAAAGGGAGACATCATGTTATAGTATATAAGATTAATTTTAATTAAAGCCTACACGGTTGTCTCTTTGTAGAACAGGTATCATATAGAAGAGAAAACACATGATCTTTATATACACACCTTGTAGAAATGTACACATGAAAAACTGTGAAATGCATATAATGTAAAATATCGCCAAATTTCAATCCTAAGGTCTTTAATTAATGTACACTTGACTTTATATTTTACAAAAATATCACTTGTTATGCTTGGAAATGTCTACAATTTTCTGTTTCTGTGTGTCCTTCTATGATCACTGCAATAAGTTAAATAGTGATTTTGCAGCTAAAGCTCCTTTAGTTACCAAAAAACCAAGTCCTTAATGATGTCATGGAAAAATTTATTTATCTACTTCTTCTCTAGATATGTGAACATTCATATTATTTGCACGAGTGACTGTGCTGCAAATGGCAACAAAATTATACATATATTCTGTAGCTTATGCTCTGCCCTCAGAAGTCAGGACCAAGGGGAGAAAGGACTGGATACTTTGGAAAGGGAAAACAAGAACAACTGTGAAATCACTAAAAGAGGATATTCAGCCTGCCCCTGAGCACAGGGAACAAGCAGCCTGCTTCTCACACAGCATATCCAGTAGGACTCAGTTCCTATTTTATTCTAGTTTTAGAATATAAAAATTTCTAAATTAAAAAAACCCATATAATTTAGATTTAAATTTTTTTAAAAAGTAAAAATTAAGGATAAAAATAGAATTACATTTTTCTAAAAGGAAGGACAACGGACACAGCATAATGACTAAGTTCCTTTTGGGGTTGCAACTAAGAAAGCAAGGATGATAATTATGTATATGGGCAGGATCACCCACAGTCTGGAAACCAAATATACCAAAAGATGCAGGTACTGAGATATAAAATGTTGTTTATTATGGTACCAAAATTATGAGAAACACACAAAAAATGTGAGCACAAAGGAAGAATAAAGACTGGGCAACAGATGCAATACTTTCTCCCAGCTGACTGGACCATGGCAAGAAATACAATATACATGATGAAAATCTAAGCTGGTATTTTCAACAGAGGAGTAGGAATTCATATTTCATGCAAGCCAACTGTTGCACATTTCCTTCAGCACTGAAGGTTATTTTAGAGGTATGAAAAAGATGAAAGATAAGATTTTACTCTCAGACAAATTGATTTCATTAACGACACTGGGTTGCGTGTGTGTAGCACAAAACATCCTGGGCTGTTGGGAAGATGTTTCAGAGAGAACAAATATCAGGACCATTCCAAAAAGAATGAGAAAAAGGGCCACTGATGAACAGTGTTCTTTCTGGTTTTTATTTGGACTGACTCCAGAGATTTGCAATATACCCCAGGAGAAGTCTCTTATAACTTGACACATGATACTTGTCAAGTTATATTAGTTATGGATAATTTACTGCAAGTTATTATGAAATAAACTACTACAAATTATAAGCTTATATAAAACTGTGTTATTTAAACTATATTATTTAAACCATAAGTTGTTATAAAATAACACAGCTATACATAAACTTAAACATATTTTTATATCTGTAAACTAATTTAAGTTATATATAACTTATTCGTGTCATATAAATGTAAATATAATTTATATAATTTATATACAAGTTGTATTATATATAAATTAATATATATATAGAATTATATATATATATAAATTATTGAGGAGAGGAGAGAGAGGAGTAAATATATAATAAATTTATATATATATATATAATTTATAATATATATATAATATTATAGAGATATAAATTATTGATGTCATGTAAATGTAAACTAATACAAACAAGGGAGGCCGTGATTGGTGCTGGAGAGGGATTCTTCTTTGCAAACGCCAAAAGGGGAAAAAAACATACCACAAAAAGGAATACAGCACAATATATATGGGGCGAGGATTATTTGTCAGCAGCCCACATCCCATATACCCTCCTGCATGTCCAGGTGGCAGGGCCAGCAGGTGACCCCTGCCAGCCACAGGCTCCGTGTGCCCACCCCCTTCTGCGCAGCATCTCCAGCGGCAGGGAAACCCTCTGGACACGGGCTGGGAGGAGCAGGCCGGCTGCCAAGTTTACTTTTCTTCCAATAAACCCTCTCGTGGATCAGCCGCGCGTGGGAAGACTAAAGAAACTGTTTGGGGGTTAAGCGGGAACTGTCGCGTAACTCTGGGCTTGGGGGAGAGCAGCACCGACCACCCAAAACTGCGAGGCAGGAGAGGAGAAGCAGCGAAGCTGACGGTGCTGGGGATCCCACCTGGCAAACGCCGGCGGAGCGGAGCGTTTGTCCGTCTGTCCGTCCGTCCGGCTGGCTGAGGATCCCGAGGATCACATGAATCCCGTCCTGCCCCCTCCCTCCGCAGCCCCGTCCCGCTGCGCTCCTCGCAACTCCTGCAAACTCGCCCAAAGCAGAGGCACTTCCCACAGGCAGCCTCTGCCTCTCCTCGAGGGGCTCTGGCAGCTGCCAAAACTCTCTTTTCCCTCTTTCCAAATAAAGTTCCAGCACTCGCAGAGGAGATTCCCGCAAAAGCAAACGATGATTGCCCGTAGCAAGAAAGGCTCATGTTCTCAACTCTGCCTCGCTCTCTGCACCTTTGGGCTGGCGCTGCTGGGGGATGTGTCCCGGGCTGTACCCATGGACGATCAGGATTATTACCTGCAGGAAATTACCAACAGGGATCATTATTATTCCTTTCCATATCCCGGGGAAGAGTTTTTTCCTTTCACGGAGCAACCTGGAGAGGAAGGACCTCACCGCGCTGCAGAGACAGAGGAGCACCCGCGGTTCAAACCCAGCAGGAAAGAGTTAAAACCGAAGAAGAACAACAAAAAAGGAAAACCGATTCTTGAAACGCCACCAGGTAACTTTCCACCTCCTCCTCCAGAGTTTGGAGTCTGCTGAATCTCACGTTGCCTGTAACTTTTTGCATCAATCAATATCCAGCTAATGGCAGCCTTGGCAATAATAACAATAAATGTGGTTGTGGTGATGATGATGACAACACATTAATTTTTAATATTCTACAACAGATCTGCAGAACTTTTACTACTTTTTAAGCCTTTCCTTATCTAGTAAAGAGATTATTTTGGAGTTGTAATGTATTCATGCTGCTGTACTCTGGCTAGTATATGGACTTTTCCTTCTTAATTATTCTTAATTACATTTGACAATTGGCATGTTGTGAAAACTGCTGTTCTCTAAGCAAAAGAACAGAGATAGATTCCATAGTAAAAGGTAATTGCATATAGTGACACCTCTCTTTATCCCTTCTCTCTTTAATCTGAGAGGTTACTGAATTAATTTTACTTATAAACCTGTGAATTTCTTTGAGATTTCACTCTGAAGCCCTCCAGAGGAAGATATGTAAACAGAGATCTTCCTGTAGAAGACTAGCCTCTAACAAGCTCACTTTAATTTTTGACCTGCAAAATAAAGAAATTAAACAGCAAAAAAAAATGCCTTATAATCAAATGACCACCCTTAATTCCATTTTCTGTTTTCTGCACTTGATTAGGTGAAAATATGCAATTATTATAGTTTGCAGAAACTTGATCAGTTTTTACCACCCAGTTGTTCCCATCAAGACCTAATTGCACCACCCTGGAAGAAGAGTAATTTCTTTCTACGTTCTCTGACTGTCTGGTAGCTACTTTACTGGTTTGGGATACTTAGGAGTGAGTTTGGTCCATGAACTTTAGAGCTGTAAACTTTGGGGGCCAAATCCCACCCCCCCAACAGCTGAACTCCCCTTTACTTCTGATGGAAACTTACTGTTAACAGCTGGAGCATATGGCACAAATTTTGTGATTTAGAGCCACTAGTACAGCAAAACAGAGGATCAAGGGTTGTAGATTGGCTTTAACTTTGCCCAGTTACATCTTGCACATAGTAAACAAAATATTTTAAATTTAATGTTAACACCAACAGAAATTAATTAGCATTTGACTAGCAAAGATATGGGCTTTTAAACTAATAAATAGTGATAAGAAAATATAATTTCTAAAATCTGGAGAACCGTTTGTGGGGCAGGCAGAGCAGCTTGTCAGTGTAAGTCAAGGCAGAGTCAAGGAGGAGAGCAGAAATATCTTGTCTGGGGGAGGAGAGGCACGAGGCATCCATGGCCCTCTCTCCCTCAGGGCCAGCAGCCAGGCAGCAGCTTCCCAAGTGGATGATACTGCTTGGACCATCTCAAGAATTGGCTTATTAAGTGTGTTACATCAGTGCAGTCATTTTAGTCTACATTAGGTCATCCGAGATTGTTTTAATGTGATTTCTTTTGGTTTGTCTGTTTTTTGGGGTTTGGGGTTTTTTTAGATTAGGAAGAAAAAAAAAAAAGATTCTGCTTTCCACCTCCACAGACTGGATCAGGAGGGCAGGGAAGATAGGGAACAGGACAAGGGGGAAGGGCTTCCCACTGCCAGAGGGCAGGGTTAGATGGGATATTGGGAAGGAATCCTTCCCTGTGATGGTGGGGAGGCCCTGGCCCAGGTTGCCCAGAGAAGCTGTGGCTGCCCCATCCCTGGAAGTGTCCAAGGCCAGGTTGAACAGGGCTTGGAGCAACCTGGGCTAGTGGAAGGTGTCCCTGCCCATGGCAGGGATTGGAATGAGATGGTCTTTAAGATCCTTTCCAATGCAAACCATTCCATGATTCCATGGGAAACACGTGGAATTTAAAGGTACCCAACTAGGTAGCAGGGTTTTTCTTCCTTAGTTTTGTGAAGTCAATACATATCTCCATCCTGGGATGTTCTGCATTTCAGCTTTCCTTTCACCTTCCCTGTTGGTTTTTCTCAGTTTCCCCAGCATCATGGCTTCACACTTACTCCACCAAACACGACAGTGATGAGAACATCACCCAATCCACCAGGGCAAAGTTAATTTGTCTTTACAGACAGGCATCTTCCTCATTCCCCACATGCTGCACTGAACACCTTACAGCTGCAGAGAAGGCAGCAGACATGCCAAACTACCTTCATCCCTGTGGAATGCTCATCTTGTCCTAATCTGGTTTGCTTTGTGCATTGTAGTAACAGCAATATGAAATTCAAACTATCTCCCACTAGGAGCTGAGCCCCTAAGGGAGCATAGTGAAGTCTTGCAGACAGTCTTCATTTGGTCATTTTCTAAGAATGTTAGATTTTGCAAATGGAATCACATTCGTTTTTCTGTATAGGAAATTAAGGAATCAGAAAAGTTTTTAAAAATGAGACTTTCTCCTTCCCCAGAAAACGCTACACTGTGGGCCAACCAACTGACACAGGCAGGATTCATCTTCTGTTTTGCTGGTTTTCACTTCCCACCTTACCTCATTCATTTCATGCCTGCATTCAGTCAGGTGAGGTCCTTCCTCAGCCTCCTTCTCCCCCTCTGCATGGCCAAACACAAGGTCAAGGGGACAAGGGTGGAGGCTCCTGCTGCACCACCAAAAGCAGCTGGAAATGGCTCAGTCCCTCCTCCCACAGCAGGCTTGTGCCCTTTGGGCACAGCTGAGCTTCCAAGCTTTCACCAGCCCTGTGAAATAAGAGGTTTTAAAGCCTGTGAGGTTTAAAAAAAATAGCCAGAGGTACGAAAAAACAACTGATCCCCCTCCATCAAACTCCTTGATCCAGCTCCTGGGCAGTTGACATCAACTCAACAAGCTGACTGTTAGGCTTGTTTAAATATGGGAAAATTCTTAGGATTTCCTTGGGAGCAGCTGAACTATTTGAACTGCAATAGGCATAATAAGCCCTAAGGCAAACACCCAGTGAGGGAAACTGTCACCAAGTGTTAAAGATGTAAGTGAAAACAGCGGGGTTTTAGCAGGAAATTGCATTTGTCGGGCGATTTGAGCTACAGTATTAAAAATTCTGGCTATAATATTTGAAATTTCTCCTTACTTCTTACTCAAAAGCAGGCAAGGGTCAGGTCCTGCCAGGGCAGTGACTGTTATGCTTATTAGCATGTCACTGTGTCACCAGGGATTGGTTTGAAATGAAGATGTGAAAATCTGGCCCTTCACAGAGATGTCTAAATGTGAATTCATACCTATATTTTCTCAAATTTTGATGTTAAGAGGCCAGCAAGAAAGAATAATAGCAGTTGTCAAGCAGATATCCATGAATAATAGGTATAAATCTGGTTGGGTAAGGATGTGTGCTGTGTATATATGTTTATAACTATGTGTTTATGCACCTATCCAGAAGTGGAATTAATTTATTGGACATGCAGTAAATATAAAAATTTGGGGGTTGTGAGGCTCACTGGCAGCCAGGGCATGTGGGATTAATTAATTGTAGCAAACAATAGTCTGGCTGGGAGCTGGGATGAAGAAAGAGGGGGAATGGGAACGTGTGATCTGCCCTTTGGCTGAGCAGCTGGTCCTGATCAGCCCCAGCTTTGAATCAAAGTGGAAATCAAATGGAACAGTCTGAAGGACACAGCACAAAACAGATGACATGGATTCAACTTATTTAAGCTAATTACTGAAGGTGGTGAGAATATAGATATTTGTAATCTGTGAAATATTAATGGAGAAAGAAATCCCGTTGAGGCCAGCTGGGTTGTAATGGGATGTAATTTAAAAAAAAAAAGATTATAAGAATCAATATTTGCAGATACTGGATTCAGGTAACAAATATCAATCTGCCTCCTTGCCCTTTAAGTGACTCATAAATTAATTGGTACTAGGTCATCCTTGGAAGGTAAACAGTTGGATTGACAGTTTTTTGTATATATGTGTATTTCCATTTTCCAATTCTGTCCTTGTTTGAACAGGCCTCTATCCAAAGCCCATTCAAATCAGTGGAAAGAGCCTTGTTAACATCAGTGTTTTCTTTTTATGAGGCCTTTAATAGAGTTTAATACGTGGCATCTCAGCTACCATCTGTGGGGCAGATGCCTTCAGAGTTTGGGGTCCGAGTACAGCCCAAAATTCATCACTGGGAGGTTTATGGGGTGAGGTCCCAGTGAACACTCCTCAGTGCTGCACATTGCTCTGGGCCATGACTCAGCAGTTCCCACTGTCAATCCTATTGCCCTCAAATCTGCCACAAATAAATCCATAACGATTTTGATTTGATTTACAAGACTTGCAGTTCTTGTTCTGGCCATGTTTCAATTCTGATTGCACTTAGAAAAATAAAGCAGTGATGTCTATTTATATGGCAGTGCTCAGAATGGGGTTTAGTGCACATTTGTTCTGTATTTCACCAGTGTTTCCCATTGTTTGATCTCTGCACAATCCAACGTGTGTCTGTGTTAGTGATCGTGATTTCTTTTGTCTTGTCTCATTTTAGAGCTTTCCCCAGGCTTGATGAAGCTCTTCAGATGCATTGCTGTTTACTTGCCCCAGATTTGTTTCTTTCTGTGTGATTTGCCACCTGTTCAACAATGTAATTCTGAAGGTTTTTAGTTTTCTATTTCTTTTTCGTTTATGTAGTGCATCAGAATCCCTTGGATGGGTCAGGACTCACTGGGACTTGGGTGTCAGGAGTCACAAAGGGAGGCAAAGAGAGGATAAAATGGCCAAGGCAAGCAATCATGAAAATTATCTTGGAGAATGAATTTGGATATATAACAATAAACTGATAGTACATTAATTGAGGTGTTTATAAAGATATGAGATCATAAAACCTGGGAGAAATTAATAAGTGAATGAGGAAGAAAAACTGAATCTTAGAGATGTTATTCGGGAAAAAATGGAGATATTTTAGTGCAAAATGGTGGCAAAGATCTGAAGAGCGTGTGAAGCTAAAAACTGACAAGTTTATGGTGTAACTGACATTTGAATCCTGAATTTTTTCACTGGAAAGAAGATTTGAGAGTGATATGTAAGGTATTGAACTGACAGCTGAAAGCACTTAAGAAGTCACCAAGATA